GTGGGTTCCAGGTATGGCAGCTAGTGTAGAACCTTTGGGCGGACTACTTAAATTAGACAATGACTAAAGTTGTATGAATGACTAGTTGTACACTCTTCCCATGGTGCCCCCTGTGGTTGTAATGCAACTATTAGCCAAATATACTATCAATAAAATCCTGAGTCGCAAGTACTCACCTTAATATTTAACAAAAAAAAAAACCTTAGAATCAAGTTAGGTTTGACTTGAAGCATGCCTCACATAATCATATGATAACAAATTGGCCAATCAAATCCATTTAAAATTATAGTTCCAAAAATTCTATAACTATTATAACCAACCAATTTCAATTAAAATTTATAATTTTAAACATTGATTAAATATTTACATAATCACCAATAAATTGTAAATCTGATTTTATTATTTTTTACAAGTTTAAAAGGTATTATGCATAAACTTGAGATTCTGTATAATGTCTATTATTAACTGTAAGAGTATTACAGAATAATATTTAGTTTTTAACCAATAATTGCGATTTTTGGTATTATGTGATTGGGGCATGCCTTTTGCCTTTCGGCATGCCCATGCCTCTGTGTCCCAACCCTACTCTTACCTCACCATCAGGAACGGTATTTATGATCACGAATTAAAAAAAAATTTATTTTTATCTGTTTAATTTGAACAAATTAATACATGTAATATATATAAATGGTAGCGTAATAACTCTGACAAGTTCTACTTGTATTACCACATAAAATAAACAAACTTTACTTTCCACATCTTTTCCAAAATTAATCCAATAAATAGACATTAAGCAAAAATAAATAAAAGATGCTTAAGATGGAAGTGAATTTCCGATTCATGAAATAAAGCAACTAGTTCTTTTCTCTCTATCTTTCCTTCTTTCCTTTTCAGATGTTTCTGTTGCAATCGAGCTACCAATAGACGTTTGATCATATTGGCGATTTTGTCGTCTTTGTTGTCGTTGCAAATCTTCCTGACGCTGTTGTTGTTGTTTTCTGCGGAATTCCGCTTCACGTTCATCTTCTTGCTGTTGGAGACTTAAGGCAAGCGCGTAGCTAATGATAAGTGTAGAAAGCGATTAGTTGCGATTAAAATAAATAAATAAAAGAAGCACCTACTCTTGATCTCCACCACAATGTGTTTCATTATCCGTCACACCAACGTAATCACCACCACTGATTTCACCTTTACGAAATTGACCATTAACGAATTCAGAAGCGCTTTGATCTACATCAATAAGCGATTCCCATACAACTGAATGTTCATTAACGAAACCGGCATCAGTGACTAGAATGTATAGAGTTGAATTTTGAGGGTGTTTATATAGTGTGGAAAACTTCCATTTTTAATGCCATGAATAATAGTTACATACATAATTATAAATAATAAATCACAATAAGCAAATCTTTTTTAATGTCCATTATATTAATCCAAAAATACAATGAAGTGAAGGTAACAGTTACCAAGATCTCAGGATACAGATTACCAGAAACTCACATGATTATTCCGGAAAAATATGCATAGATTTCCTGGCGGTAAAGTTTCAGATAAGGTTGATAATCCATGGTAAGTAAGTTGAGTTTTAGAAGCGTCCAAAAACTGAGATGTTATCAATGCTTAATAATAATATGAAGGAGGTACAAGTGACAATAAGAATGTTCAGTTAAATTAAGTCAGATATTCTCTTTCAATAATTTAATATATTACCATCTCTGACTCTGATATTTTCCATAGCATTAGCGGATCGCTCAGATTTATCAAAACCTATATCAGAAATACCATCTGAGCTCTCCAGAACGACACCTTTACTCACAGAGTCACCACCCACAACACATTCAACAGCTTTGTTGTAGCTACCACACTTTCCGACCACAACATCCCACGTTTCTTCGTCCTGAGGGTCAACCACCCAACCATGAACTAATTCTACACCAAAAATGTCGAATACGGAAAGTTCAGCGGTGGGTTCAAAACCGTGAATAGAATTGAATCGAACGTTTACATCCAGGCCAGTCTGTAATATAGGAATAATTGAAATGGCGGCATTCAATGTGTGTTGATAGTCTTGTAGAGATAGTCTCGTGGCATTAGTATCGTTAGTAATTTGAGCATTATCGGTCTTTCGATTATCATCATCCACACCCTCGATTCCATTTAAGAGATCGGCAGAATGATCTTGTTGACTTTGACCTTTTTGTGAAGATTGGTCAATTGTCAATTGAAGGAACCCTTTTTGAATCTTTATAAACCAAATTAAATATTAATATAAAAAACATGATTAACTAGATTATTAAAAGCGATGATTACCTCAGCCTCTTTATCTGGAATTAATTGGAATAAGTAATCACCCAATAATTCCACGAGGTAATCATAAGTTACAGTTGAACGATCGTATGGTTTAATCTCGATAAAACCTCGTAAAATCAAAACGTTGCCTGAATTTAATTAAATTTACTAGAGTCAAAAGTAATTATCCGCTTTAGACATAACGCTTTGCAGAAATAGATCTATCACCATTTAACGACAAATAGGATACATAATGCTAACAAAGGGCACGGCCCATTTTCTACAAAATTTGCAAATGCGATGAGGAGAAGCAAACATATAAACGATAGGGAAGAGATAGGTTTACCATTTTGAGTTATGATCTTTAACTTTCGAGGTTCACCGCCTACTGTGCCAGCCCATTCAATCGCTTTCAGCTGATATTCGTTTGTGGATAACTTTGCTGATGAAGAACTTTTTGTGACATTCACTTCCTCTTCAGCAGCCTTTCCTTTACCCTTTGTCTGAATGGATTGATTTGATTCAGGGATGGTTATTTCACCTGGAATACCTGGCATAGTTATTATTACAAAAAATATATATAAAGACAGATTTCGTGTTTGCAAATTAGAATTTGTATAATACTTTGGTCTGTGTGACGTACGTACATACGCTCTCCAGGAGCGACCGTCCCATCAATTTGAAGATCGTTACACAATTAGTAATTTTTTTATGATTCACGCATTAATGTTATACGAATATTTGAAACATTCATTTTATTCAAGGCTGTTTTTATTAAACAAAAGATCCTAACAAAGAAATTCGAGAAAAAGACAAAAAAGCAAAATTACGTTCGGAATTGAAAAATTAAACACCTATCAACTACTGTGGTATATTAACCATCGCTTAAAATCTTATACTCGAGTATAATTGGACTTGCAATATCGATATCAATAAAAACGAATTTTCGTTAACGCAATTCAAAACACCCCAACCATAAAAATCATTCACATAGTACAATTAAACTTCGGGCTTTTCAAGCTTATTATTTATAATTTATCGAACTTAGCCCTGGCTAGCGACATAATAAATAAACCGAAGTTTGGTTTTTCTGTGTTTCACTCATTTCTATTCAACATTATTATTAATATAAACTAAAATGAGAAGACAAATAAAAAAATATTTTCAAGATGGGATTTATTTAAGTTGATTCGTTTTCAGAAAGCACAAAGGGAGGGATGTTAATCGGTCCTCAGGGATCGAGTCCCAACTGATCTTTGAAAGGATCCGTAAGGACCCGAAGGATTCGGTCCTTAAATCACATGAAGAAACAATACATTTTATAGTAATGATTTGAACCGGTTAAGATTTACTTCACACTTTACCTTGGGGGTAGGGCTGTTAAAAGTCCGATCCTACCAGTCCAGACTCCACAAATAGGGACTTTGATCAGGACTCGGTCCTTGAGTCACGTCTGATATGATAACACGTGATTACTAATACTAATGATTTACATCTTAAAACTTTATTATACTTTCTTTACTGCTATTGCTAAATATTACATATATTATAAATCTATTTTATTCTACATTTACGTTTAGGATTCCTGCCTCAGACAACTCTTCATGCATAAAGAGGCTTTTGTTGATTCTTTAAGAAGGTTTTTTCTCTCTAGATTTAACATATGTTTGGCTATAGAAAAGGCATATTCACAGTGAATGCTTGTAGCTTGCATCACAAAATAGTTAGCTGCCATCAAAGTTACATTTGAAAAGTGTTGGGTTTTTGTTTTTTACCACAACAGTAAATTAGTATTTGGTTCTGAAGGTAGTGAAAGATAAGTGGTTAGCTTGTTCTCTGTGATCCTTTTATTTTCACTTAATTTTCTCAGATTTCAAAAGTATTTTAAAGGATTTTGTTTAGGTTCTACTACCTTTCTATTTACATTGTGAAGAGAATAAGAGTCTTTTAAACTTTTAATAATTGATTGATGTTCTTTTTTAGTAAAGGTTCTGAATTTAATAAACAAATCAAGAAAAGTTAGAATGGTTGAAGATTTTGAAAAATAAGTTCAATTTTTGTTAATTTTTTTTTAGTTTTTTGAGTTATATCATAATATATACTTATATTTGTTTTTTAAATATAGTAGTCAAGATAAGTTAGAAGTTATTGAAAAATTATTTATAATAAACTGTATAAGAATAATGAAGTTTTTTTTTTTTTTTTTTTGGTATTAAGGTGACCTCTTTGGTCTTTTGACTTTTATTAATCACTTGTCGGTATTGTG